CTGTAAGAGAGCCAAACCAGCACGAGGTCCAGAAGCCTTTTCCGTCCTGGTTGAGCTGAAAATCAAAGCTCTTCCCATGGTTTATGCACAAACCCATGGGCTCATCTGCTCCATAGAAAACCACCTTCATGCCTTCACATCTGCTATAGACAGAACTGTATAGGCAGAAGTGCCCACTGAGGCTGCATTGTCACAGGGCTGACCATCACGACCTCGGGACACGCACACTGAAGCTGACTCCTGTGAAAGGTCAGGTCCCCAACCTCAGCATGCTCAAAGCAAGAAGAGCGTGCCAGCAGGGTTTTCACACAGCTCTCTTTTACTTTGTGGTGTACAGAACTAAGCATGAAGAGTTACTTGCACTGCAGGAAAGGAAGTGACAGCAGAGGGCCAGTAACCTTTTGCTGAAATATAGGAACTTAAAAAAAAAAAAAAAAAAGGTTCTAAAGATGGATCAGATGCTGGTCTGGTCGTATCTTCAGCTGTAAGATTTCCCCTTAGCAGCTTTTTTACCTGCATCCAGGCAATGGGAACTAAGTTCACTGATGCAGTCATTACTGCACACACGGCTACAACCTGCTCAAGGTAATTCCTCCCCAAGGGCAGGGGAGGGGGAAAGTGACCGTATTTGGAGTGGCTCCTGTTCAATTGTCTGGAAAGTGATTGAATGCTGTAGCACTTAGATACATACCAGCAGCAAGGCAGGAACAGGTCAGAGGTGACAGAGAGGAGCTTGCCATGTGAATACGGAGTTTAAAGAGAAATATTTAACTGTGATCCCATTTAAAACCCTTTGTATATTGTGATCACTAGGAACGTGTTCAAAGAGAAGTTGGCTGCGCTGTGATGCCACCCACAGTAGCATCCAGATAGGAGGTGATGTGGCTCCCAGATTAGAAACTGCTCCAGCCTTTGCACAAGAGGGGAAGAAGGGTGCAGGCATCAACTCTACCTGCCCCAATCACACATCCCAGATCTGCTTCTGCTCCTCTGATCTCTGCTGCTGGCTCACCACCTCAGACCAGCCAGATGCCAGTTATGGCCAGGACCTTGATCCTGCTGCCTTTGTTCTGTTTGCACCATCTTGCCCATCACATAGTTTAGGAAACAAGACGGATTCTACACGTGTGTGAGCACGTGCACACACAGAACCAAAGGCAGTTCTGAACCTTTATATCAGTAAGTAATAACACCTGAACTTTGTGCATATATTCAGTTATTTTGCAATTAGTAGTTAATACTCTCAATGGGTTTGTTTTTGTTCTTTTAATATCCTTTCTTGGATCCTAGAATCCTTGGCATGAGCAACCAAATGGCTACAGCCAGCACTCCCTGGGAGCCCCCAGCTGCACAGCAGACAGCTAAATACATGGGCATAGCCCCCTGTTTGGGTGTGCCTTAATGAGACTCTCCATCAAGGCCAACAACCAGAAGACCTATAGCTCTATAGGCCAGTTGGCCTGGTTACTCAGCAGGTGGTTTTCATGGTGTGTGAGTATGCACCTGCAGACCCATAAGAGACAAAGCATACCAAAGGATGACCATGGCTACCTAACCAAGCTGCACTGCTCATGCTACTGCGAAAGAAGCACTGTACTGTGTAGTTTATTTATGCTTTGCTTTACTGCATGTGCCCTAAGAAGAAAAACCAGACAGCAGCAACTCACTGCTGTGGGATTCTCAGAAGAGAAAAAGCATCCAGCAGAGCTCCCAAGCATGCTGAGCTCTTGCAGACAAGTGAGGACTGATCAGAACTAAAACTGCACTAAAATTTTCCCTCTAACACACTTTTTACAGCACCTGTGGGGCCTTTATGTAAATGTTCCACGTGACTTTCCAAGCTCTTTCTTTCACTCACGGCCTCTTGTGAGACAGAGCTGAGCCCCCTGTTCCTATAGCAGCAAGCAGAGGGCACAGACAAAGCCGTTCTCCTGAATTCCCCCTTTCATGTTGCAGCAACAAAGCAGCTCACAGGGAGCAGCAGCATCCTAAGGGGCTGTTCAAGGGCAGGACTGCTAAGTCCTTAGGGGACCTGTCGACTTAAACTGCTTGAGACCTGCAAGTCCCAAGCTAGTTCTTGCACAGCCTTATGATTGCAGAACAGCTACTGCACTTTTGCAGTAGCTTTTCTGTCCTGTATGAGAGCTTTCTTCCTTCACACAGGTTTTTAAGCCTCTGCCATGCTGCCAGGCGTGGAAGACTCTGCTGCAGTGTGTCTGTAGAGCTATTGTATGAACTTGACATCACCTCCTGGCCATAGTCCTAGTCAATGAGAACAGCCCATGCTCGGAGCACAGGGAGCTCCCATCCTCACGGTCCACGGCTGCAGGGATGCACAAACCTCACAATGCCAAGGCCCAGACACTCCATAAACCCAGCACACAGTGGTGCAGTCATGAAGCCATGAGGATCAGAGCTGTGCAGAAGGCACAAGATTGCCACCAAGGACTGTGGGGGCAGAAGTACTCAATAAAGGATGAAAGTTGCACTGACTCCAGGGACCCTACTTCAGGGCCTAGGACAAACCTCTTTTCAGCACTGAATGTGGGGAGGACAGCCAGGAGCTGGCTTGAAGGCTGCTTGCACACCGGGGGGTCACAGCTTCAGCTCAGCAGGCCTGTTTGTTCTCTGCCTTGATCTTCATCCCTCAGCTGCACTGAAAGGAAGTTTGTCCGAGACAAGCGTGTATGGCACACAATGTCAGCTCCAAAGCAAGCTGCGAGGAAACAGATTGAGTTCTCTGTGCAAACCAACTGCAAATCCATTCCTTGGTGGCTTCACTTGTGGGACACTTCAAAGGCACCAAGCATCCACGACACAGCTGCTGCCCTGGGGAAGAAGTCGTTGAATAGCATCCGTGAATGAGAAGTAAAAATTAAGCAGTTAGATTTGGCACGTGCATCACAATAAAGATCCCTGAATGCTTAGCTTCTTACTGAACCTGAGGCAGGCTGTTAATTCGTTATTCACTTCCCAGCCTGGAAGGAAAAGCATGTTATACCCGAGGGCCAGAACTGATGAACAGAGCCATAAATCAAGCAGTTTACAAGACCAGCAATTAGGAAACAAGCCGACAGAAGGGAGAACTCTGTCAGTAATAAAGCAGACACACCACAGGATCTGCTGAGTGCTCAAAGCAACTGGGGACATACAGTCCTTTCTATACTCCATGTCTAATTCTTCCAGCCATTTGCTGCCTTTTCCTTTGTCTTCTATTTCCTTTTATTTCCTCTCTTTTTCCCTCCAGTTTTTTCTGTTCTCTTCTCCCTCTCTTCTGAAAAGCCAACTCTTCCTGAGAAAGCAAGAACGTACCTGCTGAGCAAAAGGATGCAACAGCTGCCATCCAAGAGCAGATCTGGCTCCCATGACTCTGCCCACTGCCCTTCCAAAATTTCCTGCTCTATTTCTGGCCCCTTCAAGTCCTGCCCTTGCTTTCCCTCCCAGTGCTGCAGTGCTGCATGCAGCATGGAACACCAGAACAGCCAGGCCCCAGCAGCTGCTCTCTGCAGGCAGCTTAGGTACACATGCATTAAATCTGAGTGCAGACTGTTTAATCAAGCCTCTTGCTTTCTCACAAACCCCCTTCTGCCCAGCATACTACCTCGTCTCTAGGACATCACATATTTGAGAAATCATTGCCAGTGGGGATATGTTTCTCCTGTGTTAGCCTTTGGCACTCAGTACGTGCATAAAGAGGAGAAATATGGTGATTTAGGAGCCTTATTTTGTCAAGACTGGAGGGAGACCAGATAATCCTCCCACCATCCCAAGACCAAATGGATCCAGTTATGCCAAGTATTTAAGTATGTGATATTCCAGAACAGCCTCTCAAGGGTCTGGAGGAACCTCAGCTTTGTGAAGTCTGCTCTATAGAAACACTTGCTGCTATCACCCATCAGAAACCTTTCTAGCAGGAGACACAGGGCAGAAGCAAGAGAGACAAGGTAGTCATTAGCATGCCACTGTGTGTGTTCAGCCATGGCTGTTCCATAGCAGCTCCCAGACAGGCTGCTCCCCTCTGCGGGGCGAATCAGTCCGATTTCAGCACATCACAGGCTCAGCTGATAGCTGATAGTCACTTACAGGAAACAAAGTGCTGCCTTTGAGTGCACATTACTCTAACGCGCTCCCAGCTGCTTCTGGTTTTGATCTTGAATGGCAAGGCTAAAGATGTGTCTGGAAGAGTCACTAGTCCATGAGAGAAGGGAACATCTCTAACCTTGAACACAGAGAGACTAACAATCCACCCATCCTCCCCCAGTGCTGGGGCAAAGAGGCTTTCATGAGCACTTTGGCAATGCTGTAGGAAGAGGCTGCAATATAATGTTAAGTAATTAGGTGTCTGCACAGCAAAAGGAAAATAAAGTCAAAATCATTTCCATACAAAGCAGTGAAGGAGTAAACAGCACTGTGACCTGAGCCAGGCTGCAGTGAACTCTGTGAGGAATCGGAGAGGGCAATGAGCTTCAAGGACTTGAGAAATACAAATCCTAGCCACGAGGCTGGGGCAACAAAAAAAAGCTCAGCAGCCAGGGAGTCCTTGGGAGAAGATGGGAAATCCTCTTCAAAGGAAGGTTTTTCCCACCCAGATCTTGGCAAGCCATGAGCAGTTACGCTTTGCTTATCTAAGGTCTCTTCCTGGCCAGCCAGCTGCAGATTTCACACTTAGAATGGCTGGAGAGTTTCCAAACTCATCCCAAACGTGCTTTTTCCTCCGATGATGACTAAGATCTCAACAGATTGCATGTGTGGCTTGTAGAAGTGTGCCCTCAGGCATCCCAATCTGCTATCCAATGGGCCCCTGACTTCACAGAGCCGCACAAGGGGCACCCATGGCCAGCAAGTCCCCTACCTGAGAGCTTCCATGCAGCTGTGCTGCTGTTTACCACCAGGTCTGGAAAAGGAAAAAAAGTCTCCTTCTCCTGCTGTGCTACCATAGCTGTTCATTTTGCCTAGTAGGTAATAATACAAGAGAAGAGCAACTGGCACTTTACCCATGGCCTTCTTTTCCCAGAAATGGCACAGAGGCTTTCCACAGCATCATGCAGGCTTCTGAATGGCACTCGATGGAAATTCCAGCCGCTTGGCTTTGCCCCAGTTCACTGGGAAGGTCAGAGCTTGCAACAAACCATATGCTCAGTCTTGGCTTTCCCTCACACTGCCAAGAAGTGTCTGCAAGGAATAAAGCCAGAAGGAACGTTAACTGATCGCCACTGAAACAGAGCCTTTCCTTGGCTTTCACCTAATTAACTATCAAGAGGCAGTGACGGAAGGCCCCGCATTGCCAATAAAGAATGTGGGGTTGGTAATTAATTAGCAGCCTATTGGGATCCTAGCACCTCTCGCCCACAGTGAGCTCTATAGATTGATACAAAGGGAATTTAATGGAAACACAGCAGTTTTCCCTTTATGGCCTTAAGCAAAACAGAACTAGTTTTTGAAGGAACCTCATTTACAGTCCTCTCACACAACTGATGCTTAGCACCTAACCCTGCAGGTAAGGGATTGTACTGGAAAGGAACCTGCCTGCAGAATACTGGAATAAGAGAGAAAACCCCTCAAGTAATTTGGTGAGCTATGTTCAGCGCTCTCCAAGAATAAGAAAACAGCAAGAGCAGAAGTCGCATCAAGGCAGTCCAGGGCATCCTTAAAGGATGCTCAGAAGATATGATGAGAAGCAGCTGACAAAAGTCAAAAGAGGATCCTGGAAAGATACTGCCCCAAGGTTATGGAAGGTCTGACCCACACATGGTAACCACATAACTTGCGTTTAACCTGCACATCCTTCAGGCATGCATCCCATGTCATCCCCACACACAAACTCAAATCAGAGTTAGATCTGTGATGTGCATCCGCCTGTACAGCCATTTTATTGCCAGCTCTGAATGTAGTCCTCTTTAAAGATATTGCTGCAAGTCCCCTGCCCAAGCTTGCAGCTGCTCTCTTCCTAACAAGCTCTCTGGCTCATTAACCTTTCATTTTGCTACTCTTGTTCAAAGATGAGGTGTTCTATGCTTGCTCTCATGTCTATCAGCAAGTTACACTATCTTCCTGACACCACCAACTGCCTGTTGGTCTCTCTCACAAGCGGGCTCCATGCAGGGAGGCTCCATACAGCCTTCAGACTCCTGTGATATTCCCAAAAAACCTTGTCTTTTCCTGTCCTGCAGACATCACTCCTCTTTGTGGGCTCTCATTTTTCCACATACATATAGCTGTCAGTTCCATGAAAACGTCAGCTTAGTGCTCAGTTAGCATCAAGAAACAGATCAAGTGGTATGAATCATTTGGAATGAGAAAAAAGAACAGAAGAATCTATGATTCATCCACACCTTGGATACTTTGTGCACTTGTGGTCCCTTCATCTCAAAAGGGATATCAGAACTGAAACAGATTCTGAAAAGAGCGCAACAGATGGTCAAAAACACAGAGCATAATTAAAACCACAATTACTGCAGGCACCATGAAGTAGGCTCAGACTCGTTAGCGTGTACGAGGAAAGGCTTTGGGGGAAAAAGTAGGGCTGTGAAGTCATTACTGGTCTGAAGGGGCATCAGCTCTTCATCTTCTCTTGCAAAACAAGAGCAAAAAGGAAGTGGGACCAGCCCCAAGCATCCTGCCTTCCTTAATACCAGGGAGACCATCCTGTCTCAGTGCTTTGAAGCTGGTTTTTGCTTTGGATGAGACAGAGGACCAACTGTACTTACCTCTAATATCTCTCATTACCCTCAGGCAAATAGCCTCCCTCTTCTCTTTTGTATCAAGGAAAAACCAAAAAAACAACCAAAGCCACCATCCCAGCAGTCTCAGAAGTCGATTTACTACATTAATGCTGAAGGTCTTTCCTTGTCTCTCCCCATCTGCCATCTCTCATTCATTATGAAGGAATCAGCCCCCATGTTCTATCAGCTCATAGCACCATTCTCCCACCAGATTTTCAAGGAAGTCATGCTTTTCTTTATTCATACTTTTAGATGGGAAGAACACCCACAGAGCTGCTTACTTGTCTTCTTCAAAATCTTCTTTGGCTGTGATTTCTGCAGGAAGCTTGGCAGCCATTAGCACAGCACCAAGATCACAGTCAGAATCACTTCACAGCTCCTTGCTCACCTCCACCAGTCTCACACTTCAGTGGGGAGCCCTCTGGGACAGGCCTCCTCCTTTCATCTTGTGATTGTACAGTTCCTGAGCACCTGAGGCTTTGTTCTACACCTCCCATGCTACATAAAGTCCAGAGGTTCTGCCCCACAGCTCCAGAACCTCCTCACTGCAGCCAGCAGCAGCCTTCAGCCCTGGGATCCAAGTGCTCACCCCACAGCAGCCAGACTGTGGCCCCAGCCTAGAGACATCTTGCCCCAAAATCTGGTTCAGAACATGATTCTGTTTCTACTCACCAATGCGAAACAGAAGCAAACACACTGTCAATGAAATGCCTCTGCCTAGGCAGGCTCACTAGTTTCTGGGCTCTTCCTTCACCACCCTGCTCCGGGTTCTACAGCTCCCATAAAAGCCCTGGTTGACTCCCATCATCTCATCTTCCTTTCACTAGCTGGTCCAGGAATTCAGCGGTCTAGGATGACTCCAGATCTGAAGGGCCTTAAAAGAACAAGTCCTCTTAGGCCAAAATCAGGAAAGACTCTTCTCCTTTGGGCATAAGTAAGAGAAAGGTTTGGGTTAAGATGGAATCCAGACCTAGAAATATATGCATTGCTTGCCCTACCCTCCCAAAAGCTGATCTGTTTGGATGGATACTGTCAAATTAAGTAAGATGGATTCTGGCCTCCTATCTCCTGGGCACAGAAAAGGGCAAAGATTTTGGAAAAGATTTCCCACTCAACTACTGAGCACCCAGCTCCAGGATAGGCGCTGTGCAGTCATTTTTCACAGTGAATGTGGTTAAGAGCTGGACAGGAGCCTAGAGAGGCAGAGGAATACATAAACAGAGATATATTTGTAAATCTGGATGAGGTCCAGACCAACTGGACCTAGCATTGAAGTTGTCTGTGCTTTGAGCAAGGGCCTGGACAGAAAACCCCATGGGGTTCCTTTCACACAGCATTGTCCTGTGACTGTAGGACCCTATGGCCTTCAAAAAGCAGGCATAATACCATTGCTTAGTAAAAGCAGGACTCTCCTCCAGACACAGAGCACACCACAGAGCTCAGGTCTCCTCAGCAGAAGTACTTGGCTCTGTCCCTCAGACGGGTGTCCTTTCGATGCAGGTGAACAGTGCCTGCCTTGACAGCATTGCCAGAGTCTTCTAGATAAGCCAGAAGGAGAGAGCACCCATGGAAAAGTAATCTGAAGGAAAAAAACTGAAGTGTGGGAGTGAAATGCTGATTGGGTTGCATTTGCATTTCAGTAAAAATGCACTGACATCAATGTCTGGCTCTAAAAAAGCATTCCAATTTTGAAAGTAGTTCGTAAGAGCCTTGGTAAAGGAGAGTTCTTGGCAGAGGGTGGTGTCTGCAAGAGAAACACCAGTTCCCACTGACAGATACTCAGAGGATGAGAAATAGCTCTCCTGTACACACAGAAACACCTCAGGATTGGCCTCCAATAGGAGAGATCTCACATCCTCATCTGGAGAACATCATGGAAAATAAGAATTTTAGACAGCCACTTTATAGCTCTGAACAACAAAATAAGTAAACGGACAGCATCTCAGAAGTTCTAGAGATGAAGAGGCACAGACTTTTGATGGGATTCCAACTAATTTCACTACATACTGCATACAAAGTCTGGCTTTAACTCTTCCTGTGCTATCAGTCTTAAGATTTCTACCTTCAAGCAGATTTCTAGTAAGATCTTCTAGTAAGAGTGGCCGACTGCAGCAATCCACAGCGCTCACTGCAGCCAGGGCATACTTGGGACCTCTTGCAGTGCAGCAGTTGGACAGACAGGACTGAGCTGTAAGGATGTGGGTAGGAGAAGGTGCTTTCTGCTGCTTACCTTCAAGAATGCAGCAGTTTTGGGTGTATTTTCTGAACTCAGATCCCCTGAAGATGCTTGGACATTTCTGACAAGCACCTTGCGACTGTGCAGCAGTATGGTGGAGGATACTTCTGCTAATTGGAAACAGTCGTGAAGTCTGTGTTTAGGATTATATGTCCCCAAAGCAGCATGAAGCTAGGGAGGAGCAAACAGAGCCATGAGGGGAAACATCAGAGAGTTCCCTTGGAAGAATCCCCTTCATGGAGAAGGGCTCGAGCAATGGTAGGCTTTGCTAGACTACACCTTCCAAATTCCCAGGATCAGCTAGAATGGAGCTGGGTTGTTATTTCCCCAGCAGTTTACCTCTAGAAACCAAACCTTCTAATACCTGCACACACACACACAGGGGTTCAGCACTGGACATGTCCTTGTTTTTTACATACATAATAAATAGGTGCTCGCAGCCCAGAGAATGCCCTGCTGCACTGCTCAGCAGCTGGCTGGTATCCTTTTAAATAATCAGTGGGCTCTCTAATGGTACTCCCTGCCTTCTGTTCTTGCAAGCAGCCAGCTAGAAGTGCTTATTTGCAGTCAGGCCCTGCACGATGATAATAGATGATAAACATAATTATTTGGGGTCGTGATTGCCTGTGCTTTCTTCATTCTGTTGCTGATGTGCAAAACAGTCTCAATGTTTTCAGTTTTATGGGCGGAAATTTTGACGATACAGACTTCATCCTAAAGGAAGAACTGCACGTTCAGGGAAACAAAGTGTTCAAGGCAACGAGCCGTTCACTGCACTGAGCTGCAGCTGTGGCAGACTTCTGCTTTTGAAAAACCAAGTCTTTAAGATGCACCTGAACACTCTGCAAAGCCAAGGTCAGAGTGTGATGGGAAGTGAGTTTCATTATTCGGCTGTAAAACCAACAGACAGGAAAACATTAGCGATGAGCCAGTTAGACTGACTTCTGCTCATAGCAGTGCTGTCACGTAGATATCACAGAACTCAGGATTTCAGGAAGCTGAATAACATTAAGTCTTCCAAAGCAGCAAAATGTTCCATTAGATCTATCAGTTGAGTGTGTGAAGCTGTGGGGTTGGGGAACACTTTGCTACACTAGTCAGGAGCTGAGTGCCTTCAGATGTGGAGCAGCAGATGCCTCAGATCAAAATCCAGAATGCAGATTTCTTACTTCTGTTTTAAAACAAAACTGGGATCTGATGCAGCAGCGGTGCTCTGCACAGAGGATCTGCTCCAACCCACAAGCCCATGTGCCCAAATCTGCACAGCCACATTCCGACATGGGTGCACGGAGCCATGAGAGACATGCAAACACATACTGTGACACTAGCAGGATGTGCATAGGAGAAAAAAGGCATGGCAAGCCCATCCCCCTGCTGTTGTCTTCTGTCATCTTCTCTCTATTGTCATATGGTTCTTTCTGTAGACCTGGGCTGTGAACTGCCTTTTAAATGATCCATTCCACATGGTGAGAGATGGAACTGGTAAGGTCAGGACAGCCTGAACAGCAACAATCTTTCCTGCCAACTCAGAAGGTGGGTTACTGGGAGAAGGCTGAGAGGCAGCAGGAACAGAAGGGCTGGCAGGGATGATACTCACACCAAGTAGCCCTGCTTTTCTCTAAGTTAACCCCATCATACTCCGTAGACAGGCAGTGGCTGAGACACGGTGATGCAGAAAACAACTAGCTCTTTAAGTTTTATTATTAAATAAATACATCAATCCAGCTATCACAAGCCAAAGTAGCCAAGTTAAGGATAGGAGAGACGAGAAAAGCCTTAGAGAGAACAGGTAACAAGAGATGTGTTTATTGCAGAGGAGAGAGAAGGCTTCTAACACAAGCAGGCTGCACACCACAAACATTCCCCGTGGTCTGGTAGGGCTGTACAGAGATATTTACACATACAGGCAGGGAGACGCCAATCCCTGGCTGATGAACAATCAACTTTTATTCTCTCCAGACCAGCAAAGCCAAGATTTTAGTAAACATGTAACACCAGAAATGTGCCTGTGGATTGGATAGAGCAGAGCTTTGGCTCTCCTTGCCAAATAACAAAGCCATTCTCCTGTGGGTGGTTTCACAGTGAGGCTTCTGTGGGAAGGAAGTGTTTCTAGTGGTCAAGGCAGGGAATGGGGGTTCAGCAGACCTGGCTCCCATCCCTGGCTCTGGGCACATCAGGGAAGCTCTGCAGCAAATTTGCACTCTTGCAGGAGTCACTGCTACCCTCTGTTCACCTCTCCTTGTTCAGGCACAAATTGCTCCTTAGAGGAACAAAGTGACACAGATTTTCCCCCACCTGATCCCACTTCCTGACCTTGCAGAGTTATTGCAGAGTCTGTGTGATTGATGCCTGCAAGCTGTCAGAGCTGTTTGGATGACAATCTGTCTGGAAGGTATTGGAAGACGTGCACACGTGAGCAAGAGACACGCAACCCACACACTCTACTTCCCTCCGTGCTGGCAAGCCTCCATCCAGATTTGCTCCTTCCACTACTCACACATTCAAATATTCACAAGATAGGCCTGCAGATAACCTGTGTTATAAAGCAAAGTAGCCAACACTAGCTGAACAAATGCCATTACAAATATCCAACCACTTCTTTGGTTGCATAGATTTCGCATTTTACTTACAAAATCAAGTGAATGCAAAGACAGACTGAAAGCCTACAGCAGATTCTGCCCATTTCTGCTGGGCTGGCACCAGGGCCCTTTGCATTGTCCCCTCTTTGTTTCAGCCACAGATGTCATTAACATGCTGCTTACCCCCCCTTCCAGCTCACTGATGAAGACACCAAAGGACCTAACCCTAATCCCTGTGGCACGCCTTTAGATGAGCACCTCCTAGGAGAGTTCCCATCAACATCATAGTGATGAAGGACTGTTGTCTTGAGGTGTGCATAGCTATTAGAGCTAATGACTTCACCTGACGTAGTTTATTTTGCAGTGAACACCACGGGGAGAACCTACCAACCTCACCAACAGCTTGTAAAGTAAATAATGAAAGAAGGAACAGCATACGGTCACTCAGGATGGCTCTGTGTTTAGTAGGCACACCAAGTTCATCTGCTTGTGGTGTTTTATCCCATTTCTCTTTCTGCTTTCCCTCTCAATTTTATCTGCACACTGTTAATTTTTTTAGACATTCTCTCACCTTGTTGGCTGCATTTCAAGAGTAGGTGGCATGAGTCAACTGCAGTGGACTAGCATAAAATGTTGTAAGATACTTCCCTCAAGTGGAAGGAATAAAAATCACTCAGCTGTGTGTCATAGACTCTGTAGTATACCTCAGGTAGCAGAAAGAAAATGAGAGGTGGACACCTACATGAGGTAGAATCTGCCAACCTGCTTGAAAGTTGTTAGGAGCATATAAAAAGTATCAGTGATAATGCAAAAAAAATCCCAACCAACGTCTCTGCTCCACTAATATCAGGGCATGTAAGAACTCACCTGGACATCCTTTGTAAGAGAGAACCTCAAGTTACTACGAGGGCAGATGATGTATATCCATGACCAGGTTTTGAAAATGCCTTGAATGCTGAGCTGAAGTGTTCTAAGAGCTCCCACATAACACTCCAGCATAAATGGAAGTGGCTGCTTAGAAGCAGCCTGAGGGAAGACATACCTGAGTCCTGTATAACAAGGCTTCTGCATCTATTAGGGCCTGCAGCAGGGCTGCAAGGGACAGACAGGAGGAACCAGATACAGACTGCAGTCTGCTGGTGGAGCTGGTGTGGGTGGTATCTGTACTCACCCTATGGCTGATGTCTGATCTCATCACCACTGCTTGCCTCAAAGCGACGAAACATGAACGAAGAATTCAGATCTCGCCGTAGTTTTACTGTTACGAAAATAGCAACTCAGCTCCAGTCTCTTCTGCATGCACTGAACAGGAGAGCATTTCATCTCCTGCAAATAAAAAGAGATCAGAGGAGCCTAGCACAAGGCAGGATTTGTCTCTGTAACTGATCAGTTCAACAAAAGGAAACACAAACCATTTATTAGTGAAAATGAATTGTGCCATCAAAGGAGGTGTCTGCAATTATTTCTTTTAAATATCATGTTTCATTAACTGGAAAATATATAATTAATAAACTTGCCCCCTCATTTTTGTTAAGTTTCACTGCAAGGACCTTATTACTGAAATAAATCTTTCTAGCAGTGCGTGTTGACAGAACAGAGGAAGGTGCACGCCTCTGCGTGTGTGATAATTTCCTCATGTGAAACTGAATTACTAGGGAGGAATAATCACCTTTCTTCACTGCTGAGACTGTAGATATACCCCACTCTGAGACCAGTTGTTTAAGCTCATGCCTCTTGGAAGCAGGCAAGAAGAGACTGCTTTGGCTGGCAGATGACTTGATCCAAAAGACATTAAGCAGATGCAGCTCTTCTTTCACTGGCAAGTATGGAGATACAAAAAATCAAATGTATTTTTGGATTCACAGTCCATTAAAAAGGTCTCCTGACTATCTAGCTGTTCAGAAAGACCTCGGTGGTTGGGCTGATATCCAGACTCTTTTATAAGCCCCACATTCATCCATCTCACAACGCTGCACTAGACCTGCACAACCGAGATCTGTTTTCCACACACATCCAAACTGTTATGATTTGGGGATGTTTGGTGATGGCTGTAAACGATACCAATTAGAAACACTTCAAAAATGTTGCTGAAATTTGACTCCAAGCATAAAATTCCCCTTAGATTCTGTCTCCACTTGTGATCTTTCCCTCAAGTTAGTTGATTGCCAGTTCACCGAGGATAATTAAAATATTTCCAAAGGCTGTTCTGGGCAATCCTTTTTTGCCTTGCTGCAGGCTACAAATGTTCGTGGTTTGCCCTAGGCTGATGTTCATTCCTGCCTGATTTGGCACAAGCAGCAGTGCATGCCAAACAAGGAGGAAAGCCTGCCTCCATCACAACTCTCCTTCTCAGGGTAGGTGGCACGGGAACCAAGAGAGCAGTGGCAGGAGGAAGAACAACACAAACACTCACTGGGTAGATGGTGATGCAACTTCTGGGTAGCAAGGAGAAGAGGGCTGTGTGCATTTTAATAAAGCCCTATGATCTCACTGCTTTTGAGATGTCTGGATGCCTTCAGCAAAGTCAATGGGTTCTAGAGACAAGGGAGAACAAAAGCTCTGCGGGTTGTGTGCTGGGAAATGCACAACCCCTAACTTGGTGCAGGTCAGACCTCAAGAAACAATATTAGACAACCTTGCCTTGCTACTGTGCTGAATCTAAATAGAGGAACCCATTCTCCACATCATTTTAACCAGCATTTATGAATGTTAAAATAGCCAACCAATTTGATTACACAGAAATTTTTGAGTCAGCAAATTATCTAGTTAAATGATGCATATAGAATTGGTAATTCAACAGCAACAGAAATCTTTTAAAATTTCTTACCATCTAAAGGCAATAACCCTATAAAAAGATGAAAAGAGAAGGGCCGAAGGTATTGCCCTTGTAGAAGAAATCATATTTCAGGTATCACCTTCAATGCAGCCTTTATGCAGCTACGCAAACAGCGCGGGTTGAGTCTGGGTTTAGAAGGAGTGGAATGGAAGCTCTGAAAACATTACGTGACGTATTACGTATCACAGTGATTTGCCCTGGTCGTGCACTAGGGGAGGGCATCATGTGCCAGCCCCTCTCCCAATGCGCCTCTCTGCTTCAACACTGTGTACAAAAGTGTGACTTTATTTTTGTAGACAAAAGCGTGACAATGCCATGCAACATGTGTGCTCCCATCCCTCAACAGCTGAGAGCCCCTTTGTGCAGACACGCTGATTTCTGCATTCCACAGCACCTCTGCTGGGTAAGAGCAGGAACACGGGAGAACGAAGATGGAAAAGTTAAGCAACTTCACTCTCCAGCTCTTGGGCTGCACAAAGGGGAGGGAGCAGGGAGGCGAAGCATCTGGCTTCACTGCTTCTCTAACAGCCTGGCAGGAAGGCTGCTGTCAATTCCACCTTCTGCCTTGTTGGAAGAAAGTAGAAGTGACAAGAGGCCCTCCAGGCAAGCAGCCAGAAACCAGAAATTCAATTGAGCTACCTCCCAAAACTGGACTTTTTTGGAGACCCTTTCCCTGAAATTGTTTCGCCTTTAAAAAAAAAAAAATTTCTTCGCAGTTCAGGGCCAATTCATCATCCCTGGTCTCCTGGCTCTCCTTTCCTCCAAAAGCATGATTTGCACAAAAAGATTTCCATTTTCTGGGCCGCTCTACAGCCAGCCTCGCCCACAGTAAATACATACACACATAAATATGCACTCACATGCACGCACAAACATTGTTATTTATAGATAGAGGCACTGCCACAGATAAATACACGGGTGCGTTCCCCTCCCATAGAACACGTGAGAGAGAAGCAATACTGCAGCTGAATTCACTCTACACTCGTTGATTAGGAAACAGAGTGTGGGACATACGGTCTATCTCTAGGGCTTAGACCAACTGGTTATTGGCTGGTGCTGTTTTTCTCTAACAAGCCCCTGGATATATCACTGTGGCTGCAGAGAAATGTAGCTGAAAGAGCCTTTCACTGTCAGTAGCAATCTGTCACTTCATGTATCTTACCCTATCTCTTCCAGCACAAAAGCTTCGGAGCTGCAAGTCAGTTAGGAGAAAGGTCATTCTGCAGGTAGGCTCTGGTGTTTTTCTTTATTTCTGGGAACGCATGGCCAGCTTGAGGCACTGTCTGGATGCTTCAGCATGTGTTTCAGCTTCACAATATGCCTGGCTATAATTTAAGACAAGAGAGCATTTCCATTACAAACCCCATTTTTCCCATGGATTTATTTCCCCTCTATTTGGCTTCACTTTGGGGTGGACCTTCCCTGAATATATTCACAGGCAGGGAGAAACTATTTTTCTCGTGCAATGTTTAAATCCAGCTCAGCTTCTTCTGGTTGTAAGAAATTACATATGCACACAAACACTCTCGAGCACATACAAAAAGCTTATACAAACATATGCCCGCAGAGAGATCTGTTACAAAAAAGACAAGCCAATGCAAATAAGCTCAATTTCAGAGGTGAATTAATTTGACTGACTTTATTATCCTAAATTATTAACAAGTTCTAGCAAACTTAGAATGCAATAACCACACATGGGCTTTCATGTGAGTTAAACAGAAACAGATAACTTTTCCTGATAGACGTGGTATCAGCATAAATCTGCAACGGCGAAGTTGGAGGCAGAAACTCGACACAGGACCCCTCTCTTTGCAGGTTTGTGCTCCCAACTCCTGTGTGGTTCTCCTCCCTGAAATATTCCAGTGAAATGAATCACCCTCCAACAATGCCAGAACTCCCCTGTTTTCATGAACACCAGCTGAAACCTGACCTCCACAGCATTCTAATCTGTTTATGACTTGGTCTGGCTCAGTGAGCCCATTTTGGGGGGCATTTTTTTTCTTTTTTAAACTCCTTCCTCGATTCTAGTCCAATAAAGCACATCGACAGAAGCAGTTTGTGCTGACTAGTGCCTCTAGTTCCAGGAGAGCCTTCATCCCACTTCTGATGGCACTCAAAAAGGATGATGTTATGCCCAGGCCTGTCTTTCAACTATGCTGTAGATACCCTGCGTAACCCCACAGAGGCACCACAGCCTTCCTGGACTTCACCTCTCCTCTGGTGATCGCTTTTCCTCTGGTGAAACGGGGATGTTAGCTTTTCCCTGCCTTGCTGCAGTGCTGTTGTGCTCTCTGGCTTGATGCAAATCCTTCCAGTGCCACAGGAAGCCTGATGAGGCAGTCAGGAATGCAACAGATTTATCCCATCAGGAACACTGCCCATATATCCAATCAGCTGGAGATGCTGTGGCTGTCCTCAGAATATGTGGTATTCTCTCTTCTTTTCTTGATCTTTCCCCTGAGGGTAGGAAAACACTAAGAATATCATCCAGAAAAAATGGTTAGTGTTTTCCCATAGTGTTTTGTGACTCCTAAGTACAATGTAATCATTTTCTCTGGTGAACTTTTTGCTAAGAGGACACAACAACACGGCAGAGAGCTGCAGAGACTGAAAACATGAGCTCAATTTACCCACGGTGCAGATGAAAGTTCCTGTTGTATTTTTCATCTAAGTACAGCAAATCCCTCTGCCAAGCAACAGCCCAGGTGGCCACAAATACTGAAATGCTAACTGCCTGCATGGTATGCAAGCAGGCACACAGTGAGTCCTTCCAGGAAAGCAATGCCACCTGTCAGCAGCACTGGGAGCTGGGGGACAGTTCTGGAGGCATTGAGAGCTGCTGGATTCTCAGTCCTCACGAGCCTCCTGCAGTTAGGAAGCACTGGTAGGGTTTCACTCTTCATCAGCGACTGCTGCACTCTGCAAGTGATGTGGCAGAGATGGCATCAGGCCAACGGGAGCCATGCGTAGTGAAAATGCAACTCATTGCTCAGCAAGGGGGAGGAAGATAAAAGAAAACATGGGCTCTAAACTTACCTGGATCTGCTGCCTCCACTGCTGCTGCAAGAAGGGGGGACTGGCAAGCAAGCTTATTGTACATTCAGTTAGCATCAGAGCAGGAGCACTAGCTTCAGGCTCCTCATTTATACACAGAAGAAAAACTGAAATGCTTCCCATTCCCTCACCTTGCACAGCACCAAGAGGAGGATTTCATTCCACAAGTGGAGGATTTATTCATTCCACACAGTCTGTGAGCTGTAGGGGTAGGAGCATACACAGTGGGATGATGGGCAGGCGGATGGATGGCAGTGAATGCTGCAGGCAAGCTGGAGCACAGGCAGACAGCTTGCTGCGTGTTCCAGAACCAAGAACTGCTTGAATTGCTGGAAGTACTGCAACAATCCTGGGTGACATGATGGACAAGGAGCCTGTGCTGCCTCACATGCTGCAAAAGCATGTTCCACCTGTGCCTTCCTAGCACGTGCTTCCCTCAGTATCACCCTCCATTCCCATATGCTGAGTGATCTGGACTGCTGGGCCCGGCAGGACAAACACTCCGGGCTTCCTGGCGGCTCAGCCAGGACTTATGAAGCCATCGCGCACTCAGGCTGTCTCTGAACAGTGCCAGCACGCCTTGATATGTTGCCTGCTTTTCACCTGATTGTCATCTTTGGATGCTATCGCTGAAAGGCATTTTGGAGCTTGAGGACCTGCTGCGAAGAATGAGGCCAAATTCCCAGCCCTTCCGCCTCCCCACTTCTCCCCTGCCTTCTTTTTTCTGGAAAGTTTTCCCATGCTAAGTATAGTTCCTAACAGGTGTGTGACCAGAGGGGACTGTCAGGGATGCAGCTGTCCCCACAGAGGCCAGGATCCATCTCCATCTGTCTCACTGGAGCTATCCCTGCGTTCTTCGGCCGTGGGCTGGGGGAGCTTCAGAGACTCAGACAGGGAGGAGATATGTGTACAGACACAGAGGGAGGATAACCGTTCCAGGGAACGCCACAAACAAAGCCTTTGACATCAAACTAATGCATCCTCCGAGGCTTTTAAAGAGCCCTTGCCACATACAGGCAGCCTGCCAGCTAACTCATCTCTCTTCCTTGCCATGCTAGCAGCCTGATGCCAAGGTCAGGCTTTAAATGAAAGCTGACTGCTTTGCAATCCCCTTGGGATGCCACAAGACTGGTAAGAATCGGCAGAAAATACCTGACCAGAGCCAGCTCCAGCGACGTCTGGGGCCTCTCTGCTCCCACACACACCTTTTACCAGGGCATAACACCTTCAGATGCAGACACCAGCAGGAGTTTCATCTGGACACTATCCATTATGAGTAGCAGCTCTGGAAGCCCCGACAGTCTGGACTTACTGTGAAGCTTTCAGAAATAGGGTGTTGTTCTCCAGTCCTCAGCTCTGCATGCTAAATTCCACTTTTGTTACTACAAAACTGGCATTTCAGCTCTCACAACTGAAAAGTCTGAGAAAGTAGCTCTGAGATGAAAACCCTACTCCCCAGACCTACAGCAAACAAGAAGAGTTAAAGCCAGATTTGTAATCTCTAAGGTTTTTAAGCCAATTTTGTGACTGTCTCAGGCAGCTCTGGCATCGTTTGTAATTGGTGACTCACTGAACAGAGGGGATCTGACCAAGGGGACTGAGGTGGTTCTCTCCTGTGCAGAGATTTCTGAAGCTGGAAGAGAGGAAGCATAGAAAACACAAGCAGACATTTGAGAGGCATTTGCAAACTATCTCAGAGACAAAATTTCCTCTCAGTCCTGCCTGCACATCTCTGCAAACCTCTCTGGCCTTTATGGAGCGGTTTAGAACAATTTGACCCAGAGTCTGAACAACAGAATTAAGCTCTAGGTCAGCAGAAAAAAAAAAAAAAAATGACTGCAGCTGCTTATTATTGCTTGCTATTGAAGAGTTATTGTTACTACAGAACGTTTGTTTCCCTGAGCCACATTGTGTAAGTGTCGGTGCCTTTGCTAGATTTAATGGTCCAATTATCATGGGCTGTGTCACCTCCTCCCCTTTCTACATGACGAGACCTGCTCTCCTGCCTTCATTCCCCTCTGCTGTTTTGCTAGCAGGCAAACACACCTCTGCCGCTCCTTCGTGGGTAGCCTTCCTTGTAATTTCTCCCATGCTTGGAGTGGGCGGAAGAGGCAGAGTGGAAGAGGCAGTCTCTGGGCTGGATATTTCACCCTAAAGATGGCTGGGAGGGGGTCCTCTCTGGATGAAAGCTTTTACTTTACCTAAGTTCTCATTTAGAGTTAGTCACATCAGGGTCTTCTCCCAGACACTGCAGTGAGCTCTGGTCCTCTGGACCCTCTGCTGTATGCCAACCTGCTCAGAGGCTGGCATTAACAGCTTTGGCCAGGATGTCCAAGGAGACAAGGAGTGACAGGGCACTGCCAGACAAGAAACTGTTTCCATCACCTGAAACAGCTGGTGACCAAAGATCAACTAGTCTGCCATCGCCTTCACAGTCCCTAAGAAATACCCTGCAAATATTCCAGAGGGAAACAAATCTACTTTTGGTACACTTCTGCTTGTAGGGCAGTGCCTCAACCAAAAATTCATACAGATATGGAACTCATCAGTCATTCTCCTTCTCTAAGTGGTCACCGTAAAGCAAAGGAGAGTCAGTTTAAAATAGCAGGAGCTGGCTGGGCTGATGAGGAAGGGGCCAAGCTCCCCTTCTGGATCCCAAGAGCAGCCTGCAGCAGGTCATCCATGACATACCCTGACTACTGTATCTGAGAACATCAGCTCCTCACCAGGATATCAAAAAAAAACCCAGTATAACAAACATCATTAGAGAGTTTCACAATAGGATCAGACATTTATGGGAATAAGAACATTATCTGCAGTGACAGTAGCTCAAATGAAAATCATAACAGCTATTGATTGGCCTGCTTCAGGGTACAAGCTGCTTGCCAGCTGGGGTCAGGGGGAAATCTTCCCCCATAGGGTAGTAATGCAAAATTATGGGCATTATGGGATTTTTATGCCTTCCTTTAAGGCATCTGGCCTTGGCTGCTGGTGGAGACACAGTACTGGGCTGGGAGGACCATCAGTCTGTTCAGCCCAAACATTTGTTATGTCCTAAAGAGAAATCAAGGGTTCCATCACTGAGACATCACACAGCAGAACTGCTCACTCTGTGCATCACATCTGCAAGGCAAGAGTGCGACCAAAAACTCTGAAAGCTCCCGGAGTGCCACCATGCCCAGTCCCACTGCCAGGCTGCTGTAAGGTGCAAACAATCTGTATTTCTGATGGGGTCACCTTTCTGCCTTAAGACGCTCACCCCAGGGCAGATGAGCACCGTGGGGCACAAGGAAAGCCCTGCTTGCCTGAGAGCAGGGATGGGACTGTGACTTCTGGTACTGTAACAATGAAGAGCTCCTACCCAGCACCAATGGGTGATCTGGGTCCTCATGTCCCACACAGGAACCCAGCCTCTGGCAAAACAGCTGTCAGAAGGTCAGGCTGGCTGTGGGAGCAAGAACAACGGTCTTAAAAACTTCAGGATCCACGTGGAGATCCCTTCTGCTTGCATGAAACAACAACTCATCCATCACTCAGATAGCCAGACAGGGCCATTCATCTTCATTTGACAATACCTTCAATCTACAAACACCTAGATTAAGTCTCACAACCAGTCTGGGAACTGGTCAGGATCCTTTTACCAAGCCAGGGGTGTACTTTCCTGGCTCAGATGCACCACAAGGTTTGGTCTCAAAGAATTCCCATCATGACTTCTACAGCAGGATTTTCTGAGAAGCCACTACACCCCCATCTTGTTGAGCCAATTATTTTGGTGTTTAAGTGGAAGCCAAATTCTGCAATTGCAGAGCATGTGGTTGTCTTGTGGCTTGCCCTAAAGGAACCAGTAGTGCTGCTGGGAACCCTGGCCCAGCAGCCCTGAGCCTGGTTTTCTGCAAATCGTAGAGCCTGCTGCTTACATGGCCGTCCTGGTGCTCCTGTATCTCTGCTGGGGCCAGAACCGCTCTGGGTCTGAACTGCTTTTGTAGAAGAATAAGGGGATCTTGCTATAAAACCGCAGTAACTCCTGGGACTGACAGGCATCCTCCCCACATATGCTGGTTTGACTGAAAGGATGGCATCAGCATCCCATAATGCCCATAACTGCGCAGTATTACCCTCTGGAGGGAGATTTCACCCTGACCCTAGCTGGCAAGCAGCTTATTTCACTGGGATAAAAGGCTAAAAATTTAGGATCTGACTTGGAAAACTCTAAGGGAGGCTGCACTCAAGGATATTCCAGCTAGACAAGATTTTTAAATACAGATCTCAGTGCATCACAACCTCTGCAGGGTCTGCTCCCTTCTAACACAGAACCATGCCCCAGCTCTATCTGTCTAGGGGAACAAAGTCCTCACTCATGTAGGGATGTTGACCAAATCATAAAGAAGATATAATGACATTGT